TTCTCATTTTGTAATCAAATATTTGCGAAGGCACTTTGGAATTCACAAAGTGTAACTGTGGAAACGTGGACCATTCCATTATTATCAACTCCCACAAGTTACTACCCAATCAGGTATTTCTTTGTTAGGAGAGGTCATGCTTATTTACATCTGTTAGTATGCAGACCCAGCGGCTCAAATCAAAGTGCAATTTTGTATTTAAGAATTAAATACTACCTTAAAAACTATAAATTATTTTGTATAATGTTATAAGTGCAATGATATAGAACTGTTTCTCAGGGCCAGCGAGATAGCTCAGGGCACTAAGCACCTGCTTAGGCAAGCACAGGGACCAGGGTTTGATCCCTGGCACTACTTGCTGCACCAGTCCTGCCCCCAGATGTGTTGAGCTGGTGACTGAGACCAGGCAAGGTGACGCACGCCTGTAATCTCAGAGCTGGGGAGGTTGAGACAGGAGGATCACTAGGAGTCCGAGCTGCAAAGTGAGACCCTGTACCAAATGCATAAAAACAAACCAACAAACCAACACAAAGGTGTTTCTCAGCCCAAAACATTCAGGCATATACTCTACAATACTTTATAATCTGTCACAAGAGAATGACTTGGGAAGATTGGTAATGTAGCTTAGCTGTACAGGACTTGCCAAGCATGTGTGAGACCCATCCTCAGCACTGGGATAGCAAAAGAAAAGAAAGACAGGGGATTAGAAAAACACCTCTATATATGAAAAGGAAAAGGCACGTATATGACAAAAAATACATAGTCCCAATACAGAAAATGCTTATTAGTCAACTGGAATAATATAAATGTCCCAATAAAGGACACAGATGGGAAATCCACAACAAAAGAAGTTAAAATCAGCACGTACAAGGAGTGTTTAGAATTACTAGCGAAGAAATGCCAATTTAGACAACACTGTGTTTGTTTCACATTAGCAAAGGCCAGCAGAAAAATGTGGCTAGTGTTGAAGTTCGGTGCTGTAGGGATGCTTCTCCACAGTTGATGGACCCAACTTTTCTGGAGGACAACTGGCTATGTGAATGAAGACCTACAAACATCTTTAGGGTTGTCTTTTTCTTAGTAATTCTACCTTATAACCAGACTCATAAAGATTTGTATGTACAAATGCTTGCATTATTATATTATATATAAAAATTTTAGAATGATGTAAAGTTGAAATATGATCCACTTGTGGATTATTAAAAATTGAATGCAGGCTTTAAGAAGAACTTTAGCAGTATTGGGTGACTGAGAGGTGAAGGTACAGGAAGGAGAAATTTCAGAGGATGGTGCCAATTTAATGGGACACACCCCAAGAGGACAGCCAGGCAGCAAGGGGCCCTGACCCATCCTCAGGGCCTGGGAGGCCCCTCAACTTTTCACAGTTCCTCAAGGTACATTAAGCAGATTAAATTCTAATGACAACCCAGAGCCATACACTTAAAGGGCTGGCACCCCACAGCTCTGACCTTCATAGTATATTTATCAAAGCCACAAATAACATGGTTAGAGAAAGTTGTTTACACATTGTTTAATGCTTGTTTATTTCAGGTTTGTCTATATTTCCAAATTATCTGTTGCTTCAGTTCTATCTTTAAAATAAAATAAAAGGTCAAATAGAATTGAGGGTTAGCACACTTATGCTTTTTTTTTTTTTTTTTTTTTTGAGGCATTATCATTTTAAATTGGATTGCCTACAAGAAACTGTGATTCCATTCCTTAATGTTAGGGATCACTAGTGTTTAAAATGCAAATATTTAATGATGTATTTTATATATTTAGTAATTTCAGTAATACTAAATTTTAGTAATTTTGGGTAATGGTAGGGATCAAAATCCACGAAAGGAGCATGCAGGATGAGGGCTCAGCACAGAGCTTCATCCTGAGCCCTGTAAAGCATTTTAGTGGATGAATTATGACAATCAGAAAGAGGGCCCACCAAATAGCTCAGCGGATGCCCCGGGCCTGCCGTGCGGGCTCCGCCCCTGGGGCGCACTGAGACAGCGATTAAGACTAGGTATGGTGTCGCACGCCTGTAATAGGAACACTTTGGAGGCTGTAAACAGGAGGATCACTACGAGTTCAGTCTATGCAGTAAGACCCTGTAGACCCTGTCGTAAATTAAAAAAACAAAGAAAAAGAAAAAGAAAAAAAGAAAAAGAAAGAAGAAAAAGAAAGAGTATGACTTCTGATCCTTTGTTTTTGACCCTTATTACTGAATCTTAAGAGACAAGCACTCTGACAACCTGGGATGTGGCATTTAGCCATTGTTTTGCTAACACTTTAAGCAGTTAGGAACGGTAGAGAGAATGATAAGAGTATTTATAAAAATTGAATTAGTAATATAATCGAACAATTCATGGACAATGAAAGGCTTCCGGAAATATACGAGTCATATTTAATTTTCTCAAGATTTGCTAACTCAGAGATTATACATGAGGTCCAGCCAGGAAACCGCAGGCCAGCTGGGACAGTCTGCTCCCTTACGTCTCGTCTCGGAACAGCGAGTCTGATGTTCAGTACTTTCGTTCCCTCTGCTGACCTCCTGATGCGCAGCACGCAGTCATCACCAGGGAAGCCAGGTGCAGAACACATGCGCCTAGGAGAGCGAAAGCCCACGGAGCTGCTAGAGAAAAACGCCTTTCAGGTACCCAAAGGCAAGATAATGATCCTTAGGTCAGTGTGGTAGGGAGTAGGGTGAGGGGTGTGCGTGTGTGCGCGTGCGTGCAAATGTATCTGGAAGAAGGACCACCACAACAATTTGCAAATCAATAGGATGAATATGGACACGAGAATTAAAAAATGAGTCACAGCAATGTAAAATTTACATGAAAAGAACAGGTATAAAGGACCAATCCCAATAAAGTGAAAATGAAAGTAGAAAATAATAGCCATTTAACTGCCTTTGAAGAAAACTGATCAAAAATTTGACTTAATGTTGATATATCAAGTAAGTACATGGTTGATTAATTTGATAAGCTTTGGTAAAATTATGGTTAGAACGTCGGTATTCATAAACAAGAGAATTCTTGGGGAAATCAAAACAAAGTAAAAAATGGGGAGTAGATTATTTATTAACCATTTAACACAACCTATAAGATGGAGACAGGTGAAGGGAGAGGGCCTGTCCCGCACCTCTCCACCGTCTCTGCTGAAGACTTCTGCAGCCCATGTGGCAATAACCTCTCCAGTTGGGCACGCAGGGCAGGCCGTGACCCTCAGCAGTTCCTCCCTTCTTTGGAATGACTTTCTTTTCCCTGCAGACATTCACAGTGAGCTACACACCCCAGCCATTTTCTAGCTTGGTTGATCAACTGATTGATTGATTCTATGAATGGAACACAGGACTTTGAGCTTGCCAGGCAGGCACGGTGCCACTGAACTGTATCCCTGGCCCTGCCATTTTTATTTTCAGACTGAAAGTCTCAATAAATCACTAAGTTATCCAGGCGGGGCTTGACTTTGACACTCCTCCTGCCTCCACCTCTCTGAGCACTGGGATTTCAGGTGTGCCCCACACCAAGTTTGGAATGATTCTTGCTGTTCTTAGAACAAGTTTAAAGATTTGGAGTACAACTCCCATCTTGACTGTTCTTGCCTGACATCCTAAAATCTCCTAACCTATAACTCTTATTTCTCCATCAGTTACAGTCCCAATCAGAAAAAAAAGTCAGTTAATTCACACAGCAGAATCACAGCACAGCCTTTACCTCCTACTACTTGTGTCTTTCCATCCCTAGTCCTACCGAGCCCAGGCTTGGGTGGGCGACAATAAGAACCAGGGTGAGTGGAAATGGATGAGTGTGGAAGGCATGGACAGGGAGAAAATTAGGGGAGGCATTTGCTTCTTTTTTTTTTTTAAGCTACAAAACAAGAACAACAGAAATGCTATTTAGATTTTTCTAGATAAAAATACTGGTTTACACATATGCTTTATTTACCATGAAAAGTCCCCATCTTTCATTTATATTCTAAGATGTAGTGTTTTTATTTCACAGGATTATAATGAAAACTCATTTTTAGGAAATGGGGCTGTAACATGTGGATTTTGTAACAATAATCACAGTGATTATAGTTATCATAGTGATGTGTTCCATTCTAGTGCTTATATGCAGAATAGGAAATAGAACCAAACATTTGCATGAGTCTTTATCATATATTTTGTACTTTGTACTGTCCTGTTGACCTACTGTTCTGAACACCAGATCACAGTACAGCACCTGACACTTACGAGGGATCCACAGTCACTCAGTGAATGAATGAATGATGCCCATACAACCTGGAGATTACTAGCCTTCTTCTTCTTCTTCTTCTTCTTCTTCTTCTTCTTCTTCTTCTTCTTCTTCTTCTTCTTCTTCTTCTTCTTCTTCTTCTTCTTCTTCTTCTTCTTCT